ATCTACACTGAAGAGACACCATTCAAATGTGAAGAATGTAATGAAGTCTTTAATCAGTACTCCTATTTTATTCAAAATCAAAAAATTCATACTGAAAAGAAGCCCTATATATGTGAAGAATATGGCTAAGTCTTTTGCTCTTATCAAGGATTTGGTCAATATTCAAGGATCCATACTGGAGAGAAACCCTAAAAATGTAAAGAGTGAGACAAAGCCTTTTCTTTTTGTGTAGAATTTGCTCAACATATCAATTTCATACTGAAGAGAAACCTTACAAATATCAAGAATGTGGCAAAGACTTTCTGTCTTATTCAGAATTTGCTCGACAAATGAAAATTCATACTAGAGAGAAACCCTACAAATGTAAAGATTGTGGGGAAGTCTTTCACTCTAAATTATGACTTGATGGACATACAAGAATACCTATTAGAGAGAACCCCTACAAATGTAAACAGTTTGGTAAAGCCTTATCCTACCAAACAAGACTTGCTGAACATACAATGACCCATATTGGAGAGAAACCCTGTAAAAGGAAAGAATGTGGTAAAGCCTTTCACTCTCATTGATTACATGCACAACATATGAAGATCTATACAGGAAAGAAACTTTACAATGTAAAGAATATAGCAAAGTCTTTCTCTTTAATCAGACCTTAGTAGACATATTAGAATCCATACTGGAGAGAAACACTACAAATGTAAAGAATGGGAAAACCTATTCACTCAGGACTTGCTACACATATGACCACCCACACTGAACAGTAACCCTACAAATGTGAAGAATGTGGTAAAGCCTTTGCACTTCACTCAAACTTGACTAAACATCAGAGAATCCATACTTGAAAGAAACACTGCAATTGTAAAGAATGTGAGAAAGCCTTTAAATTGTACTCAAATCTTATCGTACTTGAGACAATCCATACCAGAGAGACACCCCAACAAAGATGAATGAAAAGACAGGTGGACAGTGGGAAATGAATTTTTTAAACTCTTCTTCCTAAATCTTAATACAATGATGAGAAAGTAGAAGCTATGCTTTTGAAGAAATGCACACTTTAGGTAAAATTAACCATGCTGACTTTGTCTTTTCTTTTTATTTATTTTTGAGTTGGAGTCTCACTGCAGTCCAGCCTGGGAAACAGAGTGAGACTCCAACCCAAAAAAAAAAAAAAAAAAAAAAGAAGTTCTAACATTGTTAAGATGTCTATCCTATCAAAGACAATCTACAGATTTAACACAAACCTATTAAATTACCAACATCATTCTTCTCAGACTTGGAAATGACACTACAAAAATTCATATGGACAAATAAAAGAACACGAATAGCCCAAACAATGCTTAACAAAAGAAACAAAGCAGGAGGTATCACACTTCCAGACTTTAAAAGCTGCTGTGAGGGTACAGTAATCAAAACAGCCTGGTATTAGTACAAGAACAGGCATATAGATAAATAGAAGAGGATAGATATTCTGGAAGTGAAACCAGAATTTCTCAATCAACTCTTCTTTGACAAAACTTCCCCAAAAACACGAGGAAGAGGAGAACTTATTCAGTAAATGGTGCTGGGGAAACTGGCTCACCACATGCAGACTATTGAAACAGGATCTCTACGTATCATCATACACACAGTTAGCTCGTCATGGCTCAAAGTCCTAACTGTAAACCCTCCAACTATAAGAATCTTAGAAGAAACCATAGGAAACACCCTTATGGAAATTGGAATAGGGAAAAAAGTTTCTGGTCAACTCGGCCAAAGTGAATGCCATAAAGGATAAGACAGACATGTGAGATCTCATAAAACTGAAAACTTTTGCAAAGCAAAAGAAACCATCAGGAGAGTGAGGAAACAGCTCACAGAATGAAATAAAACCATTTTCCAACAGTAAATCTGACAAAGTCCTAACATTCATGATCTACAAAAAACTCAAACGTGCCAAAAGAAAAAAAAAAAAAAAAACCCTATTAAAAAGTGGGCAAGCCAGGTTCGGTGGGTCAGCCATTTAATCCCATGCTTTAGGAGGCTAAGGTGAGTGGATTGCCTAAGCCCGTGGGTTCGAAACCCACCTAGGACACTTGGCAGAGACCTCATCTGTACAGGAAATCAAAAAAACAGCCAGGCATGGTAGCGCGTGCCTGTAATTCCGGCTACTTGGAAGGCTGAGGCGGAAGGATCATCGGAGCCCAGCAGGTCGAGGCTGGGAGCAACGACTGTACTCCAGTCTGAGTGAGAGAGTGAGACTCCAACTCAAAAAAAAAAGTGAGCAAAATATATAAATAGATATTTCTCATAAAAGACATATGAGCAGCCAACAGATACATGAAAAAATGCTCAATCTAAGTAATCTTCAAAAAAATGCAAATTAGAACCACACTGAGATACCACCTAACTCCAGTCAGGATGGCCTCAATAACTCAAAAAGCAACAGATACTGGAGAAGTTGTGGGGAAAGGGGACCCCTGCTACACTGGTGGTGGGAGTGTCAACTAGTATAACCTCTGGGGAAAATACTGTGGCAATTTCTAAAAGATCTGAAAATCAACCTTCTTCAAGACCCAGCAAGCCCCCTTGTGGAATACACCCAGAGAAATTCAAATTGATCTGTTAAAGAGATACCTAGGCAAGACATGGTGGCAAAAACTTGTATTCCCAGAATTTTGGAATTCAAAGCAAGCGGATTACCTGAGATCAGGCATTCATGACCAGCCTGGGCAATTTGGCAAGACATCGTCTCTACAATAAATAAAAAGTTTACTCAGAAGTGGTAGTGTGCACCTGTAGTTCCAGCTACTTGGAAGACTGAGGCAGAAGGATCACCTGAGTCCAGTGGTCAGGGGCTGCAGTGGCTATGAGTGTGCCCCTGCACTCTAGCCTGGGTAACAGAGTGAGATGCTAACTCAAACGAGATACCTGCACACAAATATTTATTGTAGCACTATTCACAACATCAAAACTATGGACCCTTCCATGCTGCCCTTTGAAAGTGAACTGGGTAATGAAAATGTAATGCATATACATGATGGAATATTATGCAATATTATATTAGTATATTATACTATACGATAGTACATTTCAATTATAATTATTAGAGATCTAAGGTATAACAGTGACTTATGGCTAATAATGTCTTGTATACTTAAAAATGTGCTAAAATAATAGACATTATGTGGTCTTGTAACAAAAAATAGAAATGGAAACTATGTAAGGTGGCTGATATGTTCATTAACTTAATTACAATCATCATTTCACAATGTGTAGGCACACCAAATTATAACATTATACACAGTAAATATATGGTTATACAATTATTATTTATGTATAAAAAATCAGATGCAAAACACTTAAATAAATGTGTGTAGGTATGTTTGCTTATGTGCATATATGCAACCTTGTGCTAACTTTACCCCCCAAAAAATAATAATAAAGTAAGAGTTATTGTGAAACAAGGTAACGTGTGAGAGTTTTATATACATTTATCAATGTTCTATGTGATATAGAATAGTAAGAAATTTGGACATATAGAGTTTAAATGACCAATCCCAGTAAATAATGAAAAAGAAAAATTAAAGTAAAGTATCACTAGGAGAAGGGCTCGGTGGTTCAGCCTGTAATCTCGCACCTTTGGAAGGCTGAGGTGAGTGGATTACCTGAGCCCCCGGGTTCGAGACCCACCTGGGCAGCAAGACCTCATTTCTACAATAGATCAAAAAATCATCGCCGGAGCCCAGCAGGTCGAGGCTGCGGTGGCCGGGTGCAGCCACTGCACTCTAGTCTGGGTGACAGAGTGAGATTCCAACTCAAAAAAAAAAAAAAAATCAGTCCGGCATGGTAGTGCATGCCTGTAATTCCAGCTACTCGGAAGGCTGAGGTGGAAGGATCGACGGAACCCAGCAGGTCAAGGCTGTGGTGGCCGGCAGCGGCCACTGCACTCCAATCTGGGTGACAGAGTGAGACTCCAACTCAAAAAACTAAAAAATAAATAATAAATAATAAATAACAAATAACACTAGGGTGTCTTCTATCTAGAGACATATTCTGTGTCCTGGTAGAATTATGGAGTATCAATTTCTATAAAACCACATGGAAACCTCCCTAGGATAGAAACTCATAAAGAAAAAAAACTTATAACATCTATCTGCACAGTTTTTACAATTTCTCAAACAAAAAACAACTTCACAACTACTCTCAAATATTTCCAACATGAAAGAACAAGAAAATTTTAAAAATAGTTTAACATGAATTTTCTAAATAAATAGGTAGATATTAGGACATTGTGAAAAGCAACAGAAATGCAGTCCCTTACAAACCATTAAGAAGATTTTGATTTTCACTGTAACTTTGAAAGGAGATCATTGAAGAAGAAGTAGAATTTTGCGGAATTTTAGAGCATCGAACAAATGTCCCTTTGTGCCAAGAAAAGAAAGAATCCCATGCTTCTCAGAAACCATTTCCACTGGAGCAGTCCACCTTCCCAAACCACTCTTCAAGATCTGCTTTCTCCTTTACCTGTGTCATCTGCTTCATTGACGTTGACCTACCTGGGTGTTTGGCTAATGTGTTGTATCTCTTCACATTCCACGGTTCTTTCCTTTCCTCCAGTCTAGTGATCAGGTCTGACTTAGAAAGTCAAAACCTTATAGCCACCTCTTGATTGTAGGTGTGGGCAATGGTATCCTATGCCACTAAATTTCTGGGCTTACTACTATTAATATAGATAGAAGGACACAGATCACTCCAAAAGGAGAATGGTTGTCAAAATGAAGCATCTTTAATTTTTCCTTTTCCATGTTAACAAATCACCAAATTGTGTTTGATAGCAGGAATCTGAAACTCATTCACGAAAGCAGCAATTCCCAGAAAACAGTCTACAAAGGAAGAACATGAAATCCTTAGTGTGAAATAGGGATTGTGTGTGGAATGTCCCCACCCAAACAAAAAATGTTCCTCTGGTTCTCTAACATCACTTTCCTGTAAAATATCTGCTGAGAGGGGGTCAGGCATTCCCACTCCTCTGGAAAGAGTTCTATGGCCACATTCTTGAATATCAACAGTCCCTGAAAACAACAACAAAAACAACAACCTATATTTACCAAGTGGTAGTGTACTGTAGGCAAAACAAGAGGGAAGAAAACAGGATTCAGTTGACTTGACAACTACAATTATGCAATAAAATAATTTGTAACACAGAAATATTCTCTAAAGCATCAAGTCTGAAAAAAAGATAAAATCCACTCAGCCAGTGTACACACTATTTTTGTGAATGATACAGCATAAATCTGGACACCAAAAAGACATATATTATTGAGTGCTATATTTATGTCACACAGAATAAGTTGCATTTGCAGTTCAGAAGACAAACTCATAGTAGGTTGGAAGGTCCTCGTCAACTCAAGTTTTAATGTGTACAACCATGAACTGAATATTATTATCATTATTATTATTATTTTGAGTAGGAGTATCACTCTGTTGCCCAGACTGGAGTGCAGTGGCTGCTCCCAGCCACCACAGCCTTGACCTGCTGGGCTCCGGTGATCCTTCTGCCTCAGCCTTCCAAGTAGCTAAAACTATAGGCGTGCGCTACCATGCCGGCTAATTTTTGATTTATTGTATAGATGACGTCTCACCAATTTGCCCAGACGGGTCTCAAACTCGTGGGCTCAGGCAATTCACTCACCTCAGCCTCCCAAAGCAGGGGATTACAGGCTGAGCCAAAGCCGGCATGAACAGAATATTATCTTATAATGCAAATTCTGATTCAGCAGATACGGGGCAACGTGTGCTTCTGCATTTTTTTTTCCGTGGTGGGGGTCTCATTCTGTTACCCATGCTGGGGTGCAGTTGCACAATCACAATTCATTGTAGCCTCCATCTCCTGGCCTGAAATGATGCCTCCTCTACAGCTTCCCAAGTAGCTGGGATGAATTGGTATCAGGTGCGAAGGCACACGGGTGCAACACAACATCCATGATGAGATATTATAGGCCAAAATGTAATAAATTATAATCTAAATTTAATGATAAACATGTTTTAGGAAGAAATCTGCTTCCAGGTATCCCCATGGAATGTAATCTCTAAAAACGTATTTATAAGCCGGGCTCAGTGGCTCAGCCTGTAATCCCGCACCTTTGGGAGACTGAGGTGAGTGGATTGCCTGAGCCCACTGGTTCGAGACCTGCCTGGGTAGCGAGACTGCATCACTACAATAAATCAAAAAAAACAGCCGGGTGTGGTAGCGCATGCCTGTAATTCCGGCTACTTGGAAGGCTGAGGCAGAAGGATTGCTGGAGCCCAGCAGGTCGAGGCTGCGGTGGCCGGGAGCGGCCACTGCACTCCAGTCTGGGCGACCGAGCGAGACTCCAAAAAAAAAAAAAAAATGTATTTATAATGTTTGTTTTTGGCATCGTACAGAACAAGATTCTTTTCATTATTCTTTATTCAGACCTTCCTGAGATGTTCTGGGCAGTAACTGCCATTGTGTGTAAATGTGCATTTTATTAACTGTTCTCCATGGAGCTGATGGAGCATCATGTGAAATGTTAATCATTCATGTTCCAATCCTTCACTAGGATCTGAGGATCTACCCCATTTCCAAAGGGAATCTTGGGTATTCACACCAACTTTCCATGTTCCCCAGTCACAAGGGAACATTTTCATTTTCATTATTGTTTAATTATTATTATTTTTGGGAGTCAGAGTCTCACTCTGTCACCCAGGTTAGAGTGCAGCGGTATGCTCATGACCACTGTAGCCTCTACCTGCTGGCCTCTGGCAATCATTCAGCCTTAGTCTTCCAAGTAGCTGGAACTACAGGTGAGCGCTTCCACGCCCGGCTAATTTTTTATTTATTGTAGAATTGAGGTCTTACCAAGTTACCTGGGTGGTTCTCGAACTCGCGGACTCAGACAATTCACTCGCCTTGGTCTCCCAAAATGCTGGGATTACAGACTGAGCCACCAAGCCTGGCTGGGAACATTTTTAATACTGCAGGTCATACATTAATGGTGAGAACAGTTCATGACAACAGCAGCATGGATCCTGATAACATACGGGACTCTGGTATATTGGGAGACGTGTCCTTCAGAGCCCTTGAATATCACAGGACAACAAAAATAGTTGAAATATGCTCATTAGGCATGACCAACACAAGCACCAGTAGAGGTTTGCAAGTTTTAAAAATGAAATTCCTTGTGACCTGGGAAGCATTTACCTGAGAACCAACCAGCCATTGTTTTCCTTTTTCTCCTACTTCTCTGGGATTAATATATTCATTTTTTTGAGTTGGTGTCTCACTCCGTCACCCAGTGTGGAGTGCAGTGGCATGCTCACAGCCATCCAAACTGTTGACCTACTGGATTCAGGCAATACTTCTGCCTCAGTCTTCCAAGTAGTTGTAACTACAGTCACACACTACCATGCCTGACTAATACTTAATGTAGAAAACAGGACTCACCAAGTTGCTCAGGCTGGTTATGGATCCCAGGGGTTCTGGCGGTCCACTCGCCTTGGTGTCCCAAAGTGCTGGGATTACAGGCTGAGCCATGGATCCTAGCCCTCTGGGATTTCTTATAAGGTGAGATGATTTGGAGAGGTCACAGCTACATGTTGAAAATATGCCTTTAGTTTAAATTAAATTGAATGTATTTATTTTTTGCTACAGTCTCACTCTACCACCCGGGCAGAAGTGCGGTGGCACCATTATTACTCACCACAACCTTCAACTCCTGGGGTCAGACAATCCTTCCATTTCATTCTCCAAGATAGCTGGTCTCAAACTCCTGGGCTCAAGCAATCCTCTCACCTCAGCCTCCCTAAGTGATAGAACTACTTGCATGACTTATGATGCGCATCCAGAATATGCCCTAACATAAGCACAGTCCTCCCTTTGCTACCACCACACCCACAGACGAGAGGGCCCAGAAAGGGAGAAAAGGTCCACTTTTGTCTTTTGCAACAGGAGACAAATTCAAAAACAATGAGCTCCTGCTTGGAGTTCAAATTGTGAGTTTATTATTTACTTCCCCAAAGTGCTCTCTCTTGCCACAAACACTGGCAATTTCTGCTATAGCAATGAAAATATGGCCCCACTGGCTTATCTGACTGACCAAAACTAAGCAGAGCACAACAGGTGACCTCGCTTCTGAACTCAACTTTCACGAACATATCTTGCAACCCTCAGTTTGACAATTACGTCATGTTAAAATCACATGGGGGCGGACTGGATTCCGTGTCTCATACCTGTAATCGCAGTTTTTTGAGAGGCTGAGGTGAAAGGATTGCCTGATCCCTGGGGTTCGAGATCAGCCTGGGCAACCGGGCAATACCTCATTTTTGCAATATATCAACAAATAAGCTGGGAATGGTGGCATATGTCTGCAGTTCCAGCTACTTGGAAGGCCGAGGTGAAAGAATTGCCTGTGGCCAGTCCCAAACCTCGCACGGGCACCGCACGTGGGTCGTATCCTCCTCACGAACCTTGTGGGTCCCGAACACGTGGAGAGGGTCTGTGTGGGGAAGACTCAACTGGTGAGGTCGCCACAGGACAAGGCCTCGGGGTCCCGTCCTAGCCTCACCTACACCGAGGGGACCGGGCTGAGCAGCCAGTCGGGAATGGTGCAGGCTCGGGACTGAGGGGGAGGCGGGCCACGCCACGGCCGGATCATCCGGGTCCATCCCGTCCCCCTCTGTGAACACCCCCAGCATACTCACCATCTCCCGGCTTCCGGGTGTCCAGGCGTCCTCCCCACAGACTCCCACGACCTGCAGGTCACAAGGCGACAGAGGCTGAA